TTGTGCAAATTGCAGATAGAGGGTATTAATGAATTCAAGCCCTCGATATTTCACATTTTTATTTTTGTAAGTTATTGGATGCAGGGATGCCAACTTGGCTCAAACCGTGCCATTTGTTCCTATTTTACTTCAAATCGCACTTAGTTTTTCAATTTGGCACAAAATGCCAAAATGGCACTTTTGTAAAAAAAATTACATTTCAATACATTTTTGTGAAATCCTTTGCGTGCACTTCTTTTTCTCAACTAAAATTTTCTAATTTATAAAGGCTATTCAACTGGTTTATCTTATTTTATCATTGCACTTTTGTTTTGAAAATGTGGCTTTATTTTATTGCTAAATGTGAATGATTAAAAGGAATAACACTTTTTTGGCACTTTTATTTTTCTATTTGGCACTTTTTTTATCCTCCATATGGCACCTCATAACTAAGGAGAGTTGGCAGCCCTGATTGGAAGATTTCTGCTGTGTTTTGAGGCAACAACTTGTCTGCAGTAAAAAAGCATATAATTCGTGTTTCAAAAGTGTGTGAAAACCAATCAATTAACTTATATGATCTCGGTTCCGATACTAAATAATCAATAATTGTTTATACCCGCATTTTGGCACATTGGCTCGTTGAATGTGCCATCTAATAAATAGTGTCGTCGTTCTCCTTAGCTGCTTTTAAATGACTGCTGGCGGAGACATGAATACAGTGTAAGAAAATTCTTTTTCTATACTTGTTTCCTTATAGAAAGGTTGGGTTCTTTTCCACCTTAGACATTCCGAATTCGTTCAAAATATGCTAATCTAAAACACAGAATTCCTTCAGGACTCCTCCGGGGTTTTTGGACATGGACTGTTTCTTCAATTTAATAGTGTTAGCTTAATTTTTGTAGAAACGAAAAATGTTTTGCCAGTTATGGATCATTTCTCCACTCTTTCTTCAAATATTTGTCGTATTCCAGCTGTGCGCAGGCGTTTAGTTTTTCGCATCGTGTTTTTACATATTCCTAATTTAAATTTTTTTTTAATAGAATCAATTGGTGGTAGTTCATGATTGTGTGTGGATTAATATCACAACACTGAGGATTTGGCAGAAGCCTTTTTCATCTATTAAAAAACAACACTTCCGGGGCAATGTTTATTGTAAGAACAACATTTTTTTCTATGAATCGACATACTTTAAGCATTGTTGACGCTATTTCCATTTGAATGAGGAAATAGCGTCAATGACTTTATTTCCAAATTTTTGTTGACTTTATTTCGCTTGTGAAAAGGTGCCAAATAAAGTCAATTCACCTTATTTCCATTGACCTTATTACCTGTCACCGTAGTTCTACGGAGAACGATCGAGGTGAGTCGTTACTACACTTCTTATTAAATACTAACTTAAGCATCTGCAATATAGGTAATACACCTACATGCATATTCCCGAGTTCAAACTGGTTTCCTGGATGGGAGGAGGTGCTGGATCTAACCCCGTTGTCAGAGAACGACAGCGTGTCTGTAGAAGAGTGGAGAGTATCTGATAGGCCTTCAATGTCTGATCACCGTCTGATCCTCTTTAATCTGCACGGAATTTCCAACACCCCCTCGAAATACAGAAACCCCCACAGGACTAATTGGGAAAGATATAGTAACACACTTCAGCGTAAACTAAGTAAGCTCCCACTTAATACAACTATCACTACAGTTGAGGACCTTGATAATAGAGTAAATAATCTAGAAGAGGTTATGAAGAAAGCCTTTGAAAGATCAACTCCAGTTCGTACAGCAAGAAAGAAATCCCCACCCTGGTGGAATGGGGATCTCCAAGCCCAAAGAGAAAAAATAAGGAAAATCTACAATGATTGCTTTAGAACTAAAAACTGAGCGCCTTATAAAAGCGCACTAAGATCTTATAAAAAGGAATTGGGAAAATCTAAAACTAACTCCTGGCAATCTTACTGCTCTTCTATAAAGAACTCTAAAGACTCAGTCAGCGTAACTCCACGCCACGCTACGCCGCGGCCCCCCC